GTAGAGTGATTAGGGGCAGTTGACAGATTAAACGAAATCCTGGACCCTACGTTGTTCCCGTCAAACTTTTGAGCTATAACATGAAAGAATAATTGGGCCATCTAGCCACTAAGTTTACTTCTCTTAGCGCTTTAACATGGTGAAAAATGAGAGTCGTGGATTTACCGCATTTCGAAAAACCTGTTCTATACCCCCCCCCCCCGTCTCTGTGGATCATATTTTTCTATTAATCTCAGCAGGGCGTGTTCTATACCCCCCCATATAGCATTCGTCTCTGTGGATCATATTTTTCTATTAATCTCAGTTTCTTATTTTGTAGCTTTAGAAGTTGTTTTTCAACAACTGCTATAAAACATTCTTTTCTTTAATTTTATTTTTATCCCCTTGACTGAAATGATGACGTTTACCGTTCGTCCGTCCGTAGACATCTACTTTCCGCACGATAACTAGACTTTATAAAGCATATTTTAACGAAACTTCACGTGTTACTTCCCTTGGGGATGGGGAAAAACCCCACCGATTTTTCTGTGTTAAAATATCAAAGGTCTAGGTCGCCATCTGAAAATAATAGAAACTTGATTTCTGTGAAGATTAAAACATAGCTACCAAATACACATACACAAAGACATCTGTAAATACCCCCAAACCAAAATAAACAAAAGCAAATGATCGGTGGAATTAACCATTCTGTTAATTGTTATTTTCAATATATTTACGAATCTGATTCCTCAAATGCGATCTTGGTCCCCGAGTAAGATAAGATCATACTTAAAGCTTCGTAGGATTAGGTAGTATTAGTTTGGAGAAATAATATATTATCAAAATAGAAGATATCTTAGTTTGTGAAAAACTTTTGACTAAAGAGTTTTCAAAGCAACTAAAAATGAAAACTGTTCCCTGTCGATTTTGGCTGTCGTTACGAATACCTTGGTCTTCTCATGTGTTTTAATCTTTTTTGATATGTATTTTTCTTTATTCATAATTAATAGAAGCTATTTTGTCCGTAATAATTGTATCCCCCCCCCAGTGCGTCAGCGGTAATTTTACAAATTTACAACGCTGAAATCCAGGGCTCGATTCCCCGGGTTTGATAGAACACAAATCGCCTGTTGTGTAGTTTGCGCCAAATTCAAACAAAAACAAACCGTAATACACGTATCCTCTT